ACTCAGGAGACCATATTAGATCCTCCTCCATCAAGGGAATTCGAATTTGGGGGACTATGTTGGATCCTCGTTTGCTCTTTTACAATCAAATCAGCCATTGGTGGTTAAACTAATGCAATTACATGCATAAACTTAACGTAAAATTCATTATTTTATTTCAATCAAATAATTTGTGGCATATAAAATCAACCCAAAACTCATATATAAACTTACTTTACTGTTAAATCAAAACAATTTCTTGTTGGAATTATACATAAAATTGACATAAACATAGGAATTTTTATTGGCACATTCATAAGAATTACCAATTCCATATCCAATTTATCTTAAGTGTTGTTAATAATAATTATAAAATTTTTATTGGGCCAGAAAGCCCAATGGAATGGGGTAGGTAAAAGAATGAAACCCATTAAGAGTGATGAATTTAGAATTATTTGAGAAAATGTCCACGAAGACCGAGTGCATGTTAAATAGGCCCATAATAATATATAAATTTAATAAATATTATTTCCAAATGATTTATCAATATTTTTGTAATAATCAATAATCACCTATATAACTAGCGAAATTATTTGAAATAAGAAATTTATGATAAGATTGAGGATGTGTACAAAGAAACTTGAAGGAATCATCTTTTTGTACAAAAAAAAACTTTAAGGAATAAACTTATAATGAAAAATTTTGAAGTCTTTAATCTTTATTTTGTTTTGTTGAAACCCTATATTCAGGGCGGATCCAGCCACTTTTTGGATGAGCCATGGCCCACCCTCAATTTTTTTTTAAATATTAATATGTATAATTTATATATTTTGGTCCACCCTAACAAAAATATTAATTGACAAAAATAGTAATGTATAATAAATTTTTATTTTGGCCCACCCTAAAAGAAATTCCTGGATCCGCTACTGGCTATATTTGTTATATAATTAACTCTTCTAAATGTGTTTGTGAGCCCGTTTCTCTAATCAAAATTTTGTTTCTTTATTATTTTTTTTTTCCTAACCTTAGTTTATTTTGTGTATGCATATTAAATTTTAATACCTTAATAAATATTTTAATTGATAATGAGGTCCAGTTATTAATAATAGAGCAAGAGACACGTATCCTTCTCTTGGCATATTCAATAATAAGGCCCAGTTATTAATAAGTAGTGTGATTGAATTATTGAATCAACATTTCGTACAGGAGAAACTTAAAGGAAATTTGGCATATTCCTTGAAGAAATGACTCAGAACTTGCAAAAAACTTCTTTAAGAAATTACAAAAAGAAAACCAGAAAGACTCGGCGTCAACTCAAAGGCTATGAAAGACGTGAGATAGTCTTGGTCTTTGATGGGGTGGGGACAAGGGAGGGCTGAAGAATCGTGCATGTCTTTATTGGGTTGAGAATAAAAGGTTAACAATATAGCATTTAATTATCAAATTAAAAAAAAAAAAAAAAAAAAGCATGAATGATGAAAGCATGCACATGGGTCTGCTGTATATAGAGTTGGGTGAATCACATGCAGGAAAAAGTAAAAATGTAATTCAAAAATTTGTCATAAGTCAGAGACTGAATAGTTGTTGTGTAATTTTCTCGAACTTCTTGGAAAATCAAAGACTCAGAGCGATGTGTGTGAAGTTCGGTGGTGTTCACTCCACTCTTTCCTGTATAGTTTTATTTGAAGAGTGTGAGAATTAAGGAGTGAAAAATCTTTGATTATGATGTCAAATTGTTTGTTAAACGGTTAGATATGGTTTATACTTTGTATGGATTTAAAGTCCTATACCCAGATGCATTCGGTGATCCCGCTCCCATATTTGATAAGTTTAATCAGTGATTTGATTTGTTATTGATTTATTAACAATGAGAAATCTAGTTAAAAAAATAGGGAGTGAGTTACCGTTATTATAAATTTGTAATTGCTGTAGAGTTTTGAAACTTAATACAAAATCTTTATTTGAATGATGAATATAATTCTTTAATCAAAATGAACCAAGATAAATCAAAATGTGTTATTTACTTTTTTATTTTATTTTATTACATGTGTTGGTTGTGGATTTCCTCAAAACTTTCTTGGGAGGTTGGTGGTAGTTTATTTATTATTATTACTTTTTTTAAGAGTGTGAAAATTATGAAGAGAGAAAAATTGAAGAAATTTTGTGAATCCAAAATGACGCTGTTGTATGGCGTCAGATTGTTTGTTAAACGACAAGTCTTTGTCTGACACCTTCTTTCGTGTTGCTTTTAGATTAGAGCAGCGCACGTATTTGTGAAGAAATGACCAGAATTTGGCATAGCTGTGGACGCGATTTCTAATACCGTGCTTGTCAAAAGTCAAGAAAGAAAAAGGGAAAATTCTGATAAAGTAAAAATTAATAATTGTAATGAAATTTCCACCAAACCTCTAGTAAGGTTGTTGGTATGATAAAAAAAAAAAAATACGAGAGTGAACTTTCGTTATTATAAATTTGTAATTGTTGTAGAGTTCTGATACTTAATATAAAATCTTTATTTGAATGATGGATATAATTCTTTAAATCAAAATATGCTATTTACATTTTTGTTTTATTTATTCACGTGTGTTCGTTGTGGATTTCAACAGTCATATATGACATGGGTCAACACCCCTAGTTAGTAAATTCGCGTTTTATACACGAATTATACGGCTAGCCGTATAATTCCCGTATAAAATACGAATTCACGTATTTTATTAGGGCTGCCGTATAATTCGCGAATTATATACCCTATCCGTATAATTCGCGAATTATACGCGAATTTTTGCCAAATTTTTGCAGACAAAAAAATAATTAAATGTTAAGGCAAAACGACGTCGTTTTGGTTGGGTTTGACTAAAATTAAAGAAAATCTCCTTCCTCTTCCTCGGTTCTCTCTTCCACAGTCTTCATCTCTTCTTCAAATCTTCAACAATTCAACTCTTTTTTCTTCATCTCTTGACTCTTTGAGTCTTGATCTCTTGTTCTCTTCTCTTTTTAACTCTCTTCTCCAAGCTTTAACATAATATTTCATTTTCTGTTGTTTTGTGTTGTATGGGTCAAAATGAAAAGACTAAAGATCATCTATGAAAGCAAAAGGTAATGGCAAAACTGCAAAAGAAAAGCATGAATTCATAAAAATAATATTGTCGGGCTTGGATTTGGAATTGGCAGATACTTAAAGAAGAAGAAAAAAACAACAAACCATCAACTTGCAACCAACGCCAACTGCAAATTGTAAACCCATGTGCACTCTGTCATGTTTTTAGATTTCATAACACTATTATTATTTGACCTTTGAATGCACTATCCAATTAAATTCAGAACATAAAATTCAGAAAATAAAACAACTATACTAATTGGAATCCAAATTTTGGTTGCGTAGCTATAAAATTACGGATAAAAATACTAGTCTTAGTTATTGTTCAAATATACTTTAAATAAAAAGGAAAATAAATTGTAGGGTCGACCACAATGGATTATTTAAATTGGGATGTTTTAAAAAGTGCTAAAACCAAGATTACTATTGCCGTATTTTTCAAAACGTATTATTGACAATGTGTCGTATTAAACCCGTATATATCCGAATCGTATTTTTTCCGTATCCGAATTTTATGAACGAATTTTTACAAACGTATTTTTCACCATTTGTCGTATTATACCCGTAAAATTCCCGTACCCTTTTTTTACCGTACCCGTATTTACTAACTAGGTCAACACCTTCTTTCTTGTTGCTGTTGGATTAGAACAACACGTATTTGCAAAGAAACAACAAGAATTTTGATAGTGAGTGAAAGTAAAAATCACAAAAGAAAAGCATTAATAATTGTAATGAAATTTTGCAGAAAAAAAATCTTACTGTGTGAAACACGTGTTTGTCAAAGTCAAGCAATAGGGTTTTAGCAGCACCTTAATTCCAAATAGATGATACCAATTTTTTAATTTCCCCACATTATAATAAAAGATATGTAATATGTTTAAGTGGGATAAAAAGCATCTTAGGATCTTGATTATCTATATATCTATCTAGGACCCATTAAAAAGTATATAATTATCATAAATCCAATTTTTAATTTATCACTGTCATCCTATTGTCACAATTCATTAACCTAAGTATGGTGTAGGTGTTAATAAGAATGATCATTATGGATCATTTACCTGATTGTCAATTTTAGGACTTCGAAAGATTAATTGAGATACGTATAAATTGGTAAATCCAAAATGATTTTATTGATATATTTAATAATTTTTTTAAAAAGAATAAACTAAAAGTGTTGTAAATGAACTAATAAGAATAATTCAAAAATACAAATAATATCTTTCATCTATAATTCAAGATTTTTATTTATAAACAATTTAAACTATTCTCTCTCTCTCTCTCTCTCTCTCTCTCATGTGGGCTTTGTCATAAGTAGTTATTGCCTCCTCCTGTGTACTGTACTTCATTTTCATACCCTCTAATGGAATCTACGTGGAAAATTTTCGAATAAATTACTCTATAACACGTTATTTGTATATCATCTAATAAAATATTATTATGTAGATATCTATATAGCTTAAATAGGAATAAAGGATGTGATAGAGCTTAAAAGTCTATAAAAGACGTGAGATAGTCTTGGTCTTGGTTTTGGTTTTTGATGGGGACAAGGGAGGGACAGAGAACAGTACATGTCTTCTAGTGTGATTATGTGAGTACAAAAAGCATTCCCATTACTTATTGGGTTGAGAATAAAAGTAACATTTAATTATCAAATTAAAAAAAAAAAAAAAAAAAAAAGCATGAAAGCAGGCACATGACATGCTCGCATAGGGAAAACCGGAAAAGTAAAAAGGTAATTCAAAGACTTGTCATAAAGTGGAAATTCAAAGACTGAGAGAGAATAGTCCTTTGTNTGTATCAGTATACAAATTAGTATGAATAAAAATCTTGTTAACTGCTATTTACTTATTTTTATTTATGAATGTAATAACAATAAAATTAAAAGTAAATAAGAAACAATCCCTAAGGTTCTCAAATTCTACGTATGCAAAAAGATGACATCAACGTATACGATGACTTTGGTGGAATAGACATGATAAGCAGCAGGTTGGAGCATAAGAAGGTTCTTATTGTTATAGATGACGTGAACAATCCAGAGCAATTACGAAAATTAGCTGGCAAGCATGATTGGTTTGGCATGGGCAGTTGGATCATAATAACATCAAGAAACAAACGATTGTTGCTATCCCATGGAGTAAATGAAGTTTATGAGGTTGAGAAATTAAATGATGATGAAGCCCTCCAATTATTCATTTCAAAAGCCTTTAAGAAACATCAACCTTCAGAAAGTTTTAAGAAGCTATCCAAACGTGTTGTACAGTATGCTAGTGGTCTTCCATTAGCTCTTGAAGTTTTGGGCTCCTTTTTGTGTGGAAGAGAAGTTCATAAATGGGAAGATGCATTGCAAAGACTAAAAAGAGAATGTGACGAAGATATACTGAAAGTACTTCAAATAAGCTTTGATGAACTAAAAGAATCAGAGAAAAAAATATTTCTTGATATAGCGTGTTTCTTTAAAGGAGAGAATAGAGATTATGTGACAAGAATTCTTAAAAGTTGTGATTTTTCTCCAATTGTTGGAATAGATGTTCTAATCGAAAAATCGCTCATAATTATTTCACATAACAATACATTGTGGATGCACGATTTGTTACAACAAATGAGTCAACAAATTGTCAAGAGAGAGTGCCCCGGAGAGCCTGGAAAACGCAGTAGATTGTGGATGGAAGCAGACATTCGTCGTGTATTGACAGAGAACACGGTAAGCAATTCAATTTTATTATAATCATGTGCACCTTTTCAATCATCATTTGCTTTAACTAGTTAAATATCTATATAAAATTGATAATTATTTCTTATATTATTTTGAAAAAGAATAAGGAAAAAAATCAATTAAATATATATCTTAAAAATTCATGAAAGCTTTTAGTATCATTTAATGAGAACAAATTTCTAAATATGTAAAATAAAAATACTTATATTAGATTTTTCTGAAAATGACGGAGATATATATTTAAATTAAAAAAATATAAAAAACCTATATTATTTTAACAATTTTAAAATATAACAATGACGGAAACATATGTTTAACAAATTTCTAAGTATGTAAAATAAAAATACTTCTATTAGATTATATTAAAATGTTAATAGCAAACTTATAAATTGTTGTCTCTTGTTTGTTTAAGTAGACTGCACTCATATCTATATAGATAAATTCATGTGTTATTAATTCTTAACTTGCTTTCTCTCTCTCTATTGTTTTTGTTTTTTCTTTTATTTCAAGGGAACTGAAGTTGTTGAAGGCATAATACTCAATTTTTCTGAAGAAAAGATTCATTGTTGTGCTAAAGCATTTTCGAAAATGATCAATCTAAGATTACTCAAGATCCGCAATGTTCAACTTCCAGAAGGCCTTGATTACCTTCCCAACAACTTGAGTTTACTTGATTGGGAAGGATATCCTTTAAAATCCTTACCAACAAATTTGCGTTTGGACAGAATTATTGAGCTGAAAATGGATCAGAGCCACATTGAACAATTGTCACAGGGAATAACTGTAAGATTAATTCAATTACACTATCCTATTTTAATTTTTATGAGTAAAATAACTATATATGAAATATTTTATGCTTTTTATTGTTTAATAAATATGGAAAATTATGACATCCCACATCTTTGTCTAACTTTTTTTTTTTCTTTTTCTTTTAATAGCCTTTCAACAATTTGGAATCCATCAGTTTTGAAAAGTGTAAGTGCCTCATCAAAACACCAGATTTCACATTTGCCCCAAATCTCAAAAATGTGATTCTTAAAAGATGTAAAATGTTGCGTGAGATTCACCCGTCTTTGTTGGTTCACAAAAAGATTACTCATTTGGATATGACATTTTGTGTAAGTCTTACAACTCTACCAAACCAGATTCATATGGAATCTCTAAAAGAACTTTCTCTAGGTTTGTGCTTCAAATTGGAGAAGTTTCCAGAGATTGTAGGAAGTATGGATTGTCTACGTCACATTTGGTTAGATTCAACTGCTGTTAAAGTACTGCCAATGTCAATTGAACTTTTGAGTGGACTTGAATATTTATGTTTGGCAGGCTGCAAAAATCTTGTGAGTCTTCCAGTCAATATAAATGGTTTGAAATCTCTTCAAAAACTTGAACTTTCTGGATGCTCCAAACTTGATAACTTGCCAGAGACTTTGGGGCAAGTTGAAAAGCTATCGACACTTCATGTAGGAGGAACTGCGATAAGACGACCAATGGAGTCCATTTTTCTTATGAAGAATCTTGCAGAGTTAGATTTTGATGGATGCAAAAGACCGCCATCAAACTCATGGTCTTCACTCTTCCTCAAGACTTTTAGATTGCCCACTTTGTCAGGTTTGTGTACATCTTTAACAAGATTATATCTCGCTGACTGCAATATGGAGGAAAGGGATATTCTTAATGACTTTTTCGATAGCTTTCCTTCATTAGGGGAATTAGAACTAAGCAAAAACAATTTTGTTTCACTACCTGAAAGCATCAATCATCTTTCTAAGCTTGAACTTCTTCGCTTGAACGGTTGTAAGAGACTTCGATCTCTACCAGAACTTCCATCCAACCTAATATCTATTAACGTAAGCTGATTGTGTTGCATCTAAACCAACATCAATGCATTAATGTTATGTAATTCCACGTTGTTAGAATTTTCATGTCTAAACTGCTTGAAATTGATCTGCTGCAACAATCAGGCATCTTCAATGCCCAGAGAATTCCTTAAGGTCAGTGTCTTTCTCTTTCTCTCTCTCATCTTTTGAGTTAAACATTATTGTACAACTTTTCTTTCTTTTTCTGAGTGCAGGCAATGTCAAAGCCACAAACAGAGATGATATCCTCCTCGCGATTAATCAATTTGATGGTTATTCCTGAGGTAAATTCCGAGTGGTTCCAACACAGAGTGAGACTTCTTCAATTAAAATAGAAAGGCCTCAGATTCTTGTGATAACAAGATGGTGGGTAGCTGTCTGCTGTGTTTTTTATGTCCGAGCACAGCCTATCCTTGTTTACGGATGAGATTGCCAGATTGACCATATCTAGTTTTAAGAACTGGGATTATTTTGAAAGACTTTGGGCAAGGCTTGTTCAGACCATCTTTGGCTGTTTATTTTGTGCTGAAGTCATAGTTTTTAGCTTATTGCATGTCAAGTCAGAGTTGAGTTGGATCAAGTTTGTGACTTCATTTGACAAGATCCAGGATCAGGGTGAAGAAGTGTGGATACATCCAGTATATTAGAAAGAATTAAAACGTTGCATGATTGATTTCTGATCAACGGCGGATGTTGACTTGATGGGTAGAAGACGAAGATGAGGATTATTTTCAGCGATGATAACTCCAACCTAAAAGATTGAAGTCATAAGTTGACTGTGTAATAATTTTTTTTATGGGTTGTGTTGCTTTCTGTTTTTTGCATTGGGCTTTGCTATAACCTATATGGATTATTTGCCATGGAGAGGCGTGGGACTCCTTATTCCAAGTGGGGACAATTTTTTTTTCTCTTTTTATCTTTAAAACAAATTAATAATTAATAATTAAATATATGGATATTATTTATATTTTCTTAATAATTTCTGGATTTAAAATAATATTATTAAATATTTCAATTGATTTTTGTATATTTAATTTAATTTTATATTTCAAATTATAATATTATATTGAATTTAAAAAAAAAATTTCTGGTAGGAAAATAATTTTATTGGGTCAAATGTTGTAACTTAATTTTTACTTAATTTTTTTTGCACATCTATACATCGCTATCAGTTTGACCTATCTTGTCACCGCCAGTTTCTTAACGATGACGTTCACAATGAGTGTCAAAAAATTAATTTAAATTTTAAGTTATGTATCCTAACCTTTCTGTTTATTATTCAGCTTAATAAAATCATAATTAATTATTTTTTTACATTACTATAGTCTCCATCAAGTATCGCTATAATTATTCTATATAATATCACTAATATTGATATAAATATGCAAATTTAAAAAAAAATTAAGATTGCAAGAAAATTACTACAAGAGTATTCCTATAATTTCAAATGAATGGTTAAAGTTAACTAGTTTTTTTAAATATTTTTTAATAAAAATGCATGTGTAGTGTCTCCTATAACAAATTACTAATTACTATGAATAAAAATCTTGTTGACTGCTATTTACTTATTTTTATTTATGAACGTAATAACAATAAAATTAAAAGTAAATAAGAAACAATCCCTAAGGTTCTCATTGTGAAATTCTTTAAAAAAAAAAAAAAAAAAGGAGGCTATTTTAGAATTTTTCACGTAAAGCCTGGCACGGGTGGAAAATCATTATATTACAGCTTTAAACCAAATCTCTCTTTATGGATCTATTATTTTAAAAGTTACTGCAATTTAAAAACATTTTGTAAAGAAAATTAGAAACTTATCCAATGATAGGTCCTGCCTATCAACAAAGCTAATTACAAGCCCACGTTTAAGGCCCAATGAAAGGGTCAAACTATCACGGCAGCCCAATTTTCCAATATTACATTTGCAAGATTGGTACTTCAAGTTTTGATTTATTTACTTATTTTAAAAAGAAAAAAGATAAAGATAAAAATTAGGGTGAAACACCGTACTAATAAATACGATCAAAACATATGAAATATATGCACACATTTATAACAGTCTAAACCAAATTAAGTAGATATTAGGTGTGATATTTCATAACAATTCTATAGAAGAGTAAAATGTTAGTTAAATACTATTATGAGTCTTTAAACTATCAAAAACATGTTTAGGGTTGAATCCCAAAAGCAAAATCCTAAGGACAAAAATCTAAAGCGGATAATTTCTTAGCAACTCTCATGAATTTCCAAATACTACAGATGGGTGAGTAAGAAACAAATTAAAACTTACAATTTGTGATAGTGATAAATAAAAATAAACTCTACATTGTAATAAGTTATAATTTTTTTAATTTTCACTTTAAGGAAAGTCGCCTTCATATAGTAATAATTATATATATATATTACAAAAATATATATTTTATGTTCATTAAAAGTTTAAGATGAAATAAAATATTTATTTAAAGTTGTTTGAAATAATGATTTATACTTTAGAGTTGTTACTACATCTTTTAATTTATAAGTACGTAATAACTCGTTAACATAGACACCTACTTGTTGAAGCCAAAATATTTTTAGCTTCTTAAGTATGTTTAAAGCTTCATAGCCCGAAACTTTTTATATTTTTATACTATCATCTTCAAGATTATTTCCTTTCTTTTCTTATTAAATTGCAACAATGATTTCTTCTTTAGTTAAAACATACATGATTTGTTGCTCATTTGAATGATTAAGGAAGACATGAATATTCATTCGATTAGTGCAATGAAGTTGTCGAATCTGATCACTCAATTCTGCAATGATTCTTTTATTCTCCTCATCCACTTCATTTGTAACTTGCAATTCATCAACATCAGAGGTCCTAATTTTGCAGTGCTTAAAACCATTGACAATTGTCTATAACTTCACATTAATTGACCATGTATCAACTGCATTTATAGTTCCATCAATGACACTTATTTTTGCTAGTTCTAAGACACGATCTTCTATCCATCTCAAAAGTAGACAATTGAAGCGCTGAATTGAAATCCTAATACTACTAAAATATGAATTGAAATCCTAATATTGTAATACTAAAACATGAATTATAAAATAAGAAATCAAACTAATAATTTTTGTGACTATACCTCTATTGAGTTATAACATCCTCATAGTAATAAAATTAGTCCATCCCACTGTTATGTTTATAGAAAGGTTTTACTGTCTATAGAGTACAAGAGTTGAACGTATAAACTTCAATTAAAATCTAAACTGACTCCTAGAATAAAGGAAATACCTGGAGAACTAAATACAAAGTCAAATAAAATACAATAAAAAATAAGTAGCAATGATAAAGATGAAGTTCACTAAATTTTGATTGGTTGTCATATGTCAGCCCTTATTTTTAAGACACAACAACGTACAAGCTAACACTCTCCAACAGTCTGTTTCTTGCAGTCAAGAAGTTTCATAACTCTCCAAATATTTCAGAGCAGTTTTTGTTTGAAGCGACGACTTTGATTAATTAAATTGAGACAATATAACTCCTTGGCTTCTGCATAGACTCACAGGAAAGGTTACTTGTATACGAGTATTTATCAAATGGAAACCTCTATGACTGGCTACATCCAGATGAAGGCGAATCAATCAACATAGATTGGCCTTTGAGGGTGAAGAAATTGAAAATTATCTTTCAAAATGCTCTTCTTTGCCCCAAGAAGATGCCATTGGTAAACCTCTAATTGGTCGATCATTCGACAGCCAGATTTTTCAGTTCCTTGAAGTTGCATGTCAGTGTATTCAGCCCTTTCCAGATCAAAGGCCAACAATGCTTCAAGTGTACAAAACACCTGGTGCTATCGGAGAGAGATATGGCCTTGTTGATACTTCTGAGGCTATGATGCGAAATAAAATTGCTACTGTAGATATTAGTGATATATGCGTAAGTGTGAGAATCCTAGGATCGAATGAGAAGAAAAACCAGAATGCTATAATACTTTCCAGAGAAACAAACAGAAAACCTTGAGAGAAGATTGAATTTTCCAGAACTGAACTTTATTTACTTCAGCTTAGTTCACAAAGAATTCTTGAACTCCTTTTATACTAAGTGTGACTCTTACAGACTTAGCAAAGAAACACCATTGATTTAAAAAGAAACACAAAGTGACTGCCTTTTAACTGTTGATCACATTTTCAGACTTGCTGAGCTTCAGTTGAAAGAAACCCAGAAACCCTGTAGCTTTAATCTAAAACTGTTGAAGTTGTGAGCTTCGTAAGTTCCAATAAAGGGATTTAACGCCGCTTAACAGAAGCTGTAGGATATAATGAACATGTTTTAGTTGCAATAATTGGGTCAACAAACACATACGCCTCTTATTAATTAGAAACAGGATATTTAATACAAAGAGTGGAAACAAAATGCACAAAAAGGCCTGAATTACTCCCGAGCAACTACAACTACTTGTTTTCCAATATTGCGTCCATTAAATAGGCCTACAAGAGCAGCAGGAGCATTTTCAAGACCTTCAGCAATGTCTTCAAGATAAACAATCTTCCCTTCTCGGATCAAAGACAACACAACCTCTAGAAACTTCGAATATTGAGGAAAGTAATCGAAGACGATAAATCCTACCATATGAATCCGCTGATAAACAATGTTCATCAAATTGCATACACCTTCAGACTGGCCAAGATTGTACTGTGAGATCATTCCACACACCGCAATTCGACCTTGAACTCTCATGTTTAGAAGCACTGCATCTAGCATTCTTCCTCCTACGTTGTCGAAGTAAATGTCAATTCCTTTAGGAAAGCACCTGGAAAAGAAAATAAATGATTTTGAGTTTGATGGGGGGCATGCCCCTGCTTCCATTTCCCTGGTCCTGAAACTTTATATATGCAATGAAACTTACCTTCTCAAAGCCGCTCCAGTCATGCTCCTCCTTGTAATTGAAAGCATCATCAAATCCCAACTTGTCTTCAGAATTTCAACCTGATGACATGTTCCAGAAGAAATATTTGAGAATCAAACTTACCAACTCTCTACCTAACAAACCTCATCATTTCGAAAACCCTGACAGATTTCAATGAGAAGACAAGCATGACCAGAACTTAAGTTTTATTATTGACTTGTCAAAAGGGCAAAACACACTCCAGAAACATATATCGAAAAGAAAGTATTGTGTCTGTGATATTTGGCTCACTTTTCTTTCTCTTCCAGCACTTCAACACATAGCAACCCATTAATTTTGCAAATTGCCCACAAGCTGACCAACTGCACCTGATGCCGCTGAAATGTACACATATTCTCCTTTCTTTGGAGCACAACTTCATAGAAGCCAGCCCAAGCAAGGCCAGGCATACCTATAAACAAATAAAAACACAGAGAATACAAGAGTTTATATTCACTAAACATCACCAAAAAAAAAAAAAAAAAAAAAAAAAAGTCAATCTCTCATGTTGAATCCTAGTTTTAAAAATCAAATCAAGTTAGTTATTCCTAGATCTCCTCTCCCTTTGCGATCGGATGACAAACCTTTTAGCCACTAAGATTAACTATACCTAAGAGTCTTGTGTCAATCACAGGGAAGGCAATTACTAGTTTTTATCCGAAAAAAAAAAAAAAAAAAAAATCTAAATCTCCTGGACCAAAAAAATATTCTACAATTTGGGAATATTAATATCTAAACATAATCAATTATTTATTGAAATACATGAAGGTACTTATAACCTTGAAATCATCTAGAGAGGAAACAGAAGAGCTCACCAAGAATTCCAGTATAATGATAAGGGAACCGTGTGATGGATTTTGAAGATGCTTTCAGGTTCTTAATGACGCTGTATCTTCCCATCCAACAGTTCCCCAACCAAGTCCCCTTTCTTAAACTCTGGATGCCCTGAATCACAACTTAGCTACACCAAACCCTCCAGTGGCTGCATGCATTCCACTTAAATGCATCAGAAAGCTTGCAGAATATATATATATATGGAGTATTTGTTTTAAATAAAATGCTTACAGAACTTGGTTGGAAAGAAACGAAACCAGGATCTTTACTATGTTCATGCGGAATCTCATGCGAGGATCCAAGACAAGTAAAAGATTCTTAACAACAACTGCATTTGAACCTTCTTCTACTTTCAATGATATAGAACTAGTTTTTCACCGCCATGTCTGATTCTCGTGGAAACCCTTCAACGAACTGCTTGAATATGACTTGCTTATTGCTTATAACTTCACCACCACTCGCCATTTTTGGTTGATTTTATGGTTTCTTTAAGCATAATTTCTTTTGCTGCATGAGTTGTATTTATATATGGTTGCCTGATAGTTGTTTTCTTTCATCGTTTTCGATTTGAATTCTATTTAAAATAATATAATCAAGTGAATGATTTGCCTGTAAAGAGTGGGTTTGATTGATATGAGATCATCACTGACGATTTTTAAATATCCTCTTCCAGTCAATTTAGACTAAGTGTTCGTCAAAACTCAAAATGATGGAAATTTCAAAAAATAACTCTCAATTTCAGCCTTAGCCGTCGCCGCCTCAGGCGGCTTTAAGTGTGTTTGTGTAAGGGTTTGTTTTGGTGACGGCGTAGGTTCACTGGGAATCGTCACTCTATGAAATAGAAGAAGAAAAATGGTAGCACAAAGGATTTACTCCGGCGTATGCAGGAATTAGAAGACATCGTAAATCCATCTACCGGCGTCCTCCGATATGCTGGGTTGTTAGGAAGTGAAGATGGGGGAGAAGCCCCCATGAGTGTGGCTGAGAAGGGAATGGAAGAAACTCCTTTGGAGGGAAATCCAGTCGAGAGGCTGGACGGGAATGGGAAGAATACCAGTGCTAAAACTCTTGAGGTAATTAGGAGACAGCCACGCATTGTTGCTGAGTCGACTAATTTGGAGAAGGGAGGCGCGTGCAGAGGCATCTCAACGAGACAGCAATGGAGGAGTAAGGACAATCACTCAAACTCCGTGAGCGAAGATGAAGATAGCCAGGATCGCTCAAGGAGTCCAATGGCGCAAAGCAATCGAGCCACAGGGGTTGTAATAGCTAAGCCGGCGGCGGGACAAGAACAGGGAGGGCCGGTGGCGGAATTGGTTTGGGCGGAAAATTTGGAAATGAGAAAAGGGGCTGGATTGATGGACTCGGGTCGAGGGGGATCGAGTTGGATTCGTGGCAGGAACGACCCGGATTCAGGAGTTGGGTTGTGGACTAGATCAACACCTGGGGGATGGGCCTCACATGAATGGAGAATTTTTGGGCCAAGCTGGAGCTGCTAAAGGTAATGGAAAATTTTTGGGCAAGTTGACGCAAATGAACAGGCTTATGGGTCGGATACCAACAAAGCAGGCTTGTGGGTCGGATGATGGACGATTATTTAATATCCGAGCAATTTTATGTTTACAACTAAGATGTACAATCAAGCAAAAAATAAATGATAGAGTAGTCATTTTATATAAATTTTACATAATTTTTGTCTGGTTGTATGACTCAATTGTAAGCAAAACATTATTGTTAATATCCTCTTTTTTTCAATTTACACGTTGATATTAGTATACACCCTGCTAAATGAAGAAGCAAGGTGGAATAGAGATTTGAAAGCCTTGGAAATTCGTCCTCTTTAGCACTCTTCATGGTATGATATGGGATCCTCAAAGGTTTTCTAGAGAGTAAAAATATGTTGTTTGGTACAAAAGAAAGTTGAGAGAAAATTTATAGATTGCTGATCTTAAAAGAAATTTTCTTATATATATATATATATAGTTCATAAAAATGTGTTCATGTTACATCGGCATTGTTCATAAAATGTATGCTACGTACAACCTAGGATTTATTTAAAATATAAGAACTTGTTTGAAATAAAATTCTTCTCATTCATAATTTTTTTAGCATTCTTTTATCAGTATATCCTATTAATATACGTATATGGTACTCATATTGGCTGCAACAATAGTAAGTCAAGCTATGATTTCAGGACCAGTATGACCTATTAATTAAAAAGTGCACCTAGTAAATCAACCGATCAATATATAATGGTTCCTTCATGCCTCCGAGAGCTGATAAAACTGCCATTGATATTTGAAGGAACATGAAGAATAGCATAATCATAAAACTATAGCGTGGTTACCACATACAGGCTTATAGCTCATCCATTTATCCGAATCCACCAAGCTTTTATATCTTAGTCGTATTGAGATCCCAGTTTTAAAGCAATATATATCAAAATATGTCGTTTTAATCACTTTATGAAAAGCAATCCTCCTATTACTTTTATATATATACGCTTTCTTTCGCTGCATAAGATCCCTAAACTGTCTATTTTACACGTGGTAGGGACAATAGGTAGTCCATACCGAGTATAAAACAAACAGTTGAACAGTGCCATGCTTTAAGGAATGCATGAAAACCCCCTCTTTGCTTTTCTTCCTTATCGCCCTACAAATGTTACCTCTTTAACTTTGGTTGAATTTATATCCCAATTTTGAAGATGTAATTAAGCACTATTTATAGTGTAAGGGTTAGTAAGAAGAGATAAAATGAATGAAGGTAAGGTAAGGATGAGTTAGAGGGCGTAAATGGTGCTTGCAATTGAAGTGGGTAGAATGAATTTGGCCAAGGCTATAGAACACCCTACAAGCCCAATGAAGGCCAAATGACTTACGCATACCCAAGGTTTACTAAAATGACAAGCTAGTACCCAAAAGGTTTTGAAACAACAAACAGTTACCTTCCGTCATGTACTGTTAGTGATTTCTATTTGTTCATAGTGAAAAGATTAAAATGCCCTTAAAAGCTTGGTATTTTAGTTTTTTATAAATTTCTAAAAAACTCCCTAGGTTTGCTAATTTAACTAAACACCCCTACATATAAAAATTTTGTTAAATGATAAAAATACCCCCACACCTGCAGTGCCAGATTCCGGCCACCACTACCAGAATCTGGCAGTAAATTGCGTTACGACATAGACCCCATCGGATCTGTGTCGTAACGCGTCGATCTGGCCTTTTCCAGCCAGATCCGT